TTTCGGCCCACAAGATCAAAAGGGAGAATTATCGGCCCAATAGGGCCAAATAAGGAAATATTGGTCCAATAAAGGTTTTTAGGTTGAGGATTTTTGGGCTAAGGCCCAAAGATGATTGGATTTGGCTTATTGGATCGAGTTTTGGGTTTATACAAAGTGGTTTCGACTTGAATTACGATTCTTGAATGTGTAACTTATATAGTGTTGAAGTTTGATTTAAGTCAAAGGTAGGGTTACAAGGTTACACTAAGAATTTATCCTGTACAAGGATGGAAAAAAATATAACCCTAATTTTGCCAGTTGTGACACAAATTGATAACAAATTAGCATTAAGGACTAAAAGAGAAACTTACCCAAAACTTGAATGTTACAATTCTCCCCCACTTGAATCAGACTTCGTCTTCGAAGTTCGCTGCTCCAAATAACTCGGGGTAGTGCTCCTTCATCTCATCCTCCGACTCCCATGTGCATTCTGAACACTTGCGATGCTGCCACTAGAATTTCACCGACTCAACAACCTTGTTCCTCAAGGTTTTTGTCTTCCGGTCAAGAATCGCTACCGGTCTCTCATCCACCTGAATATCCTCTAATGGTACCACCGCAGGATGATCCACTAAACATTTCCACAACCCAGAGACTTGGAATGTGCTAAGGATATGACTGAGCTCCTCTAGAATATCCAAGCGATAAGCCACCCGTCACACCCGGCCAAAACCCTGAAAGGACCGATATATCTAGGGCCTAATTTGCCCCTCCTCCTGAATCGGATGTCACCTTTCCAAGGTGACACCTTCAGGAGAACCATGTACCCAACCTGGAACTCTAGATCTTATGGGCGCTTGTCGGCATAACTCTTCTGCCGACTCTGAGCTGACTGGAGCCTACTATGAACCTGTTGTATCAACTCAGTAGTCTTGAGTACCACCTCGGTACTCCCCATGACTCGCTGACCGGCCTCACCCCAACAATCGAGGTCCTGCATTTCCTACCATAGAGCATCTCAAAAGGAGGTTGATCGATGATGGCGTGATAGATGTTGTTATACGAAAATTCCGCTAACGGAAAATACGTATCCCAACTCCCATGAAATCCAAAACACACGCCCAAAGCATATCCTCCAAAGTCTGAATAGTCCACTCGCTCTGACCGTCAGTTTGCGGATGGAACTCCGTACTGAAATGGAGACGAGTACCCAACTCGTCTTGGAACATATTCCAAAATATGGATGTGAAGCGGACGTCCCTGTCTAAAACCACTGAAATCGGCACCCCATGTCGTGCTACAACCTCCCTGATGTATACCTCAGCCAACTTCTCTGTAGAGATACTCTCCTGAATCGGGATAAAGTGTGCGCTCTTGGTCAACTGATCCATGATGACCCAAATCGAATCCACTCCGTGCGCAGTCCGAGGCAATTTCGTAATGAAATCCATGGTAATCTCCTCCTATTTCCACATGGGAATATCCAATGGCTACATCTTTTCGTGAGGTCGTTGATGCTCGGCCTTGACTTTCCTGCATGTCTAGCACCTCTCCACATAACAAGCTACATCCCGCTTCATGTAGGGCCACCAATAATCAAGACGAAGATATCTATACATCTTCGTCGCCTCGGAATGAATGGAGAACCTCGATTTGTGTGCCTCTTCCATCAGAACCTGACGCACACCTCCCCAATACGGAACCCATACTCTCCGATGAAGAGTCAACAAGCCACGACTATCATAATCAAAGGAACCCACTTGACCCATCGTGCGACCACTCTTCCAGTGCTCTTCCTTCATAGCCTCGATCTGAGCCTCATGAATCCTCTCCAAAAGCGGAGTAATCACGTTCATCCTCAAACAAACATCCCTGATCGGAGTCGCGACCGCCTTGCAGCTAAGAGCATCGGCCACCACATTAGCATTCCCAAGATGGTAAAGGATATCACAATCATAATCCTTCACCACATCCAACCACCGGCACTGCCTCATATTCGGATTCAGCCGATCCATCAGATACCCTCAGGCTCTTGTGATCCGTGTAAATAGTAAAGCGGACCCCATAGAGGTAATATCGCCAAAGCTTGAGGGCGAAAACCACAGCCCCCAGCTCCAAATCATGTGTCGGATAATTCGCCTCATGAGGCTTCTGCTGCCTCGAAGTGTAAGTGATCACGCGACCCCTCTGCATCAGAACTGCCCCCAAACCCATGATCGAAACATCACAATAAACTACGAAGTCCTCAACACCCTCCGGCAGGGCCAAAATCGGCGCCTCACACAATCTCTGCCTCAGGGTTTAAAAAGTTGTCTGCTGCTCAAGCCCCCAACAAAAAGTGGTAGTCTTCTTTGTCAATCGAGCCATGGGAACCGCTATCAAGCCTTTGGGTCGGGACTCGGACTTCCAGGTCCCAATCAAACAAGAACAGACAAGGAAGTCATCCTCACAACCCTCAACCGAAGCTCCTAACACCCTAGGATCCTAAAGCACGAGGATGCCCTACAGATTACTAATACAACCGTAACTAAGACAACCATAAAAGGATACATATAAATGTATGTCGTAAAATTATCAAAAATCATGATGTACAAAATATGTTGTAAATTTTAAGTCGTAAATGTTTGTCAAGAAGTTATAAAAATGTTATAAATTACGACATACAAAGTCAGTCGTAAATATATGTAGTAAAATGCATTTTGTGTGTGTTTGTCGTAATTATAAGTCATACATATATGTCTTAAATTTATGACAAACCAAATACATGTCATATCCGTTTATGACATGGTTTTCAATGACAGACATTTGTCTGTCATCTATGGGTATTTACGACGAACATTGTCTGTCGTGGAAAGCCTATTTCTAGTTGTGTAAATAAGAATACACTACAAAAATCGTCCATATGATTAAGTTTGGAATTCTTTTATTTAAATGTCCCCCAATCGTATGCATGATCTAATATATAAGTTTTGTTCAAGTTTGGAATTCTTTAATTCAAAAACTCCCCCAATCGGATCGATGCATACATATTTTTTTTTTATTTTGTAAGACTTTATATCATTATTTATCATTTTTTATACCATTACTATTGCAACACGATAATCGTTATACCAAATCATGGTCGGTGACCACTATTTTATTTTCGACTATGATAACTACTTAGCTTCCTGGTTGAAGGTACACATTGAACCAATAACTTCTTTCACTACCAAATACCACCGTAACCACTTTTTAAATTAAACTTACACATGAAGATTACACATATAAGAATGAAGGGAGTCGATGAGTTTTCCAGGCGGGCTCACGGTGGTATCGCCAGTACTACTACTGCCTACACATATTCATCCCCGGCGCTGGCCCCAAAAGCAAGAAGGAGCGGAATAGGTAAGCCGTTTGAATTAGGTGTGGGATTGGTACGGTACCAATTACTTATTTCTTAAACTGTGTTACGTACAATTATAGTTGGTACAAAAAAGTTCTCCCACTACCGTATCAAGTATAGTCAATACCAACTTGTTTGGTTACCAACAGTTGGGTTGATACATGTTGGTAATTGTATATACCAACATGTATGAGGGTTTCATAAATGAGGATTTTTATCTTCTTGAGCATTGTGAAACGTGGTGGGGGGGGGGGGGGGGTTTGGATAAGAGTTTTGTAATTGTTGGGATTGAAAAATCTATCCAAAATGATTTTATTAATTTATGCCATGAGTTTAAAATATAAAATAATGGAGGAAATGGGACACACCACCATGAGTTTAAACTTTAAACTTTACGGAAAATACTAATATCAAAACTGTTAAAACCTTAAGCATCAAACATACTAAAATATAAATGTAAGATTGTGTGAGAGAAATAATTTTTTTTTGTGAGAAACGTGAGAAATGGACAGTTTACATGTTTTTTTGGCGAAATAAGTAAATGAATCATAAAATGATACAAATATAACATGTGTTAGAAAAAATTGGCAGAAAAAACGTGTTGATGATTTTTTTAGTAGGTCAAGCGATGATTCTTTTTTTTTCGGACAATTTTTGTTAATAATCCCAAAAAAATGAATCTCGAACCGTTTTTTCAGATGAGTTTTTGTAAATCATCTTATTTTTGTATCATTAAAGGATTCATGTCCTTGGTTCGTGAAAAAGCATGCATTTGATTTATTTCTCACGTAATTTTTGTTTTTTGCATGATCAAAAGCCATATAACACACACACACACACATATATATATATATATATATATATATATATATATATATATATATATATATATATACACACACACACACTGATATTGAATTGGTTGGTACGGTATTACCATAGATTGAAAACTTTGTATTAATATTATACCGTGATTACTCAATTGGTATGGTACTACCAACCAAACATGTTGTCTATCAAATATATGGTTAAATTTCATTATTTTTTAATCATTTTATCCACTATAAATAAAACATTTTACCACTTCAAAAGTCACACCTTTCTTTTTGCATTCTAATTCTCTCAAATTTCATTTTCACTTTCTCCGATCTAGATTGTATTTCATTGCATATAGATTCAACTCCTGTCCAATCCCAAAGGTGCAAACAATGGTCCGAACAGGAAGAAGTGATGTTGGCAAAAGCTTACATTGACACTTTGAAAGATAATTACTAGGGAAATCTACAAAGATCGTCTTATATTTGGGGAACAATTCTCAATCACTTTAAACAACTTAAGTGTTTAGATCATGCAACACATCAAACTAATTCGAAATTGAAGGATATACAGGAGAAAGTTAACGAGCTCAATTCTATTTTCATCCACAAGATAATACCAGTGAGCCTAGATTTTCAACGTTGATGTTTCAAATGCAACAGAAACTTAGTATCACAAACGAAATAACATGAAAGATTTTTGAAACAAGGTGGCATGTGATATTTTTTAAAAACTACCTACTTTTTTAAATGAATTTCATGTGTCGTTTTGTCCAACTCCACCTACACCCATTCTTGTAATAATCATACTTAGCATGCTAACAAAAGATAAAACACCAAGCATTGAAATAAAATAAAATAAAATAAAAAATACACAGTGAGCGAATTCCTTCCACATTTTACACACACAACAAATTACTTCCACATTTTTTTATATAATCTTTTCAAAGCTAAAAATATAAAAATTCAAAGCTTCAAGTAAAATTCATCATCACCATAAAAGTAGAAAACCCAACAAATCTCCAACTCCATCGACTTTCTACTCTTCAGCAGCACTCGCAGCACTTAAATCTACATTCAAATCAAGAACCTACACAAAAACACACAAAATAATTAACAATTTCTTTTCTTTTAAATTTTAAAAAAAAAAAAAGACAAATAGATAATACCTTCCCAGTTATCATAGAGTACATATTGAGCACATCAATCACAGTCGACTCAAAGTGAGTAGTCGCATCATAACTCTGCAACACATAACAAAATAATTAAAACATTTACATTCCCAGTCCCTGGGCATATCTGAAAAAATGAGGGACTAAAAATGTAAATGTATAAACTTACTGTGGATATAAAGCAATTATCAAGAGAAGGCTCATTGCATGGTTCATATCTATCATAAACATCATAAAAGATTTCATCAACTGGGCCTAAAAGATCAAGCCCAGGTTTTAATTCAATTTCAGGTTGATCACTTTCAGCTTCTGTTGACACAAATGCAATAAACTTTCCTTTTGGAGCAACATTGTGTGAATATGAAGAACAAAACAGATACCTAAATAATTATCAACAAAAAAAAAACAATTATATATTTATATAAGATAAATCTTTATTTAAATAAACATTTTAATAAACTCACATGTCTGATTTGCGACCTAATTGTTTTTGTGGAAGAATAACTTGCACTGAATGTGAGTCATTGGTGTTTGGAATCGGGTGACTCATAATGCAAATTGCTCTTGCAACTTTCCCAACTTTTCTCACCTGTTTTTTTATAAAACTTTGAATTTTAAGCAACAAATTTTTATAAAACTTTGAATTTAAATAATTTATACCTTGTTGGACAAATAGGAAGGATCACAAACAACTTTTTTGCATTTAGCAGTTTCACCCTCTGAAGTGACCCCACACACTTTTCCTTCTTCATCAAACTCCACCTTGCATTCAGGTTTGTTCAACATGTAGGTCCCACCATACACAGCACTCAACCGAGCAAATGCCTATAAAATATATATATTTTTTACAAATAAGTATTGTTGCTATTATTTGTAAATAAGACATATATTTTACCTGAGGAAGCTCGCCTAATCCATAGAGAGGATAAATGTAAGGAGACCCTCCTTGGAAACGTGCGAGTGACTCGGCGTAAAGCTAGTGGCAAAATCGTAATTTAACAGAATAATTAGTTTAGTGGTAAATGGTAATTGTTTTTTAACGAATGAAAAATTGACAGGTGTCCACCTTCATTTTTTTTCACTGTTTCAAGTGCGGGTTCGTTTAAGTAACGATCATCTCTGTGTAAAGCTAACGCGTGGCCAATGAAATCGACAGTGTTGTCATCAAGACCATATTTACTAGAAATATATATATATATAAAGTTTATTAATTTATATGGAAAGGAAAATTAAAAAAATAAAATAAAAAAGTTTAATGTATAAATAAATACGCGATAAGCTCTCTAGTCGAAACACGTGTAAGGTCCATTCCTTCATGAGTTTTGGGGTCATTTTCATTGTAGTCTTGAACATAAATGAAGAACTTGCGAGCACGACGTTTCTCAAAAATGCCCATGAGAGGAGACTTGAGAGCCTCCATGTCAGTTGCAGGAACTTTGTGTACCTACAAGGGTAAAATTGTCCAAAAAAGTTTAGAAGCGAAGTAGAGACAAGTGGGAATATAATATATTAATATATTACCTTTCCTTTGTTATAGACAAAGCTTCCATCAACAGCTTTGAAGTAAAGATATTTTGTGACATCAGTGTGGATGAGGACACGTACAAGAGCACCATTTGCCATTATGAACTTGAAAAAAAAAGGCGGGATGTTATATCGGATGGATGATGAAGAGGGTAAAATCGTAAATAGATACCTTGGGGATCATGTCCACATTGTAGTCTCTACTTGAACCTAAGTGAGCTGGAGGCTTGTCACTTCCTCTAAATTTCTTCCATAGCTGTTGGTGTTTTGTTGTTTGTGTTATTAAGATTTTTTAAATGAAATTGAAGGTTTAGAAGAGATTTGGAATGGAAATAAAACCTGAATAAGATTGAGTGAGGTTGATTCTCCACCATAATAGTCATTCCTGTCCATGTGGAGAACCTGATTTAAAGATATAAAGTATTAGAGACATAAATTTGTTGTATAAAGATTTGCAGAGATTAATATAATTTACCAAATAATAGTAAAAGGGTTTACGTTTACCATGATTATTGTATTTAAAGGAATTAGCATACAAAGATTTAGAAATGTTGCATTTTGATAAATTATCATAGAACTATTGTATTTTGAGTTTATTATACATATATTCTATAAACCATAAAGCAATGAACATTGTATAATTTAATTTCGAATATATTGAATTTAAATGAAAGTTTGACTATGTGAACATAGATGAAACTTTACTTGAAATTGAAATTTAACTGTATTATTGACATAAATTTCATCTTTATTATCAATGAAGCTATCAACAGCTATAATACTGACTTCACATGGACTAATAAGTGATAAGATAATTATTACATATTTATACAAATAAATTAAAAGTTGGATCGTGATCCAGATCTAATTTTGATGCGGATTTAGTTCATTTCACTTGCTGTCAACTTCCATATCAACATATTCACCATACATAAGGAATAACTGACGTGGAAAATGTTTCAATCACTATCTATTAACACATAAGTTTTTTTTTCAGAGAATGCAGTGATCCCCCTTTCACGATGCCCTATATTTTTATTATAAGCAATTTGAGTATCTTCAAAAGTGATATACGCAATTTGGGGACTATTCAGACTTAAAAGTGAACTCAGATGAACTCAGATGACTTTCGTAATCTATTTCCCTTAATTAATAGAAAAAACTACATCCACATATTGATGATCTCAGATCTGATTATTCGGACAAACAATCGGGAACCAATGTTGACCTAAACCAACGAAACTGATAAAAAGCCTTCGTATAAAAGAACAAAGATTTAATCATGACCAAGTCATAACTACAAATCAGGAAGAAATAAGTCAAGCAGGCGTCGGATTTAAGTGAGAAACGACTAATACCTTCAGACCATCGACGGAGAGAAGACCGCTGAGGATGCATTCCTTGAGACCAGTACCGAGGACGATGACATCATACTCTTCATCCATGTTGGATCGAATCGGCGATTTCCCCAAAGGGCAAAACGTAATACAGAATACAGATCGAGTGAAAGTAATCCGGAAGGAGTTAGGGTTCCCAAATCGAGTCAAAAGCGTGTCTTCCGCGAATTTATATATCACCGGAACACCGAAATATGCTTTGCTTAAGTAGACCAGCAGATTTCGCTTTAACTTCCGGAAAAGAGCAAGAATAGTCCCTGGACTTACGTTTAATTCATGGTTTTCCTTCTTTAGTATTATTCTTTACATTTTCAGTTTATAAAAGTTATTTTTACTAGAAAACTAGAATTTCACCAGCCGCAGGTTACGGCGGTAGTAATGTATTTGAGAATTAGTAGAAAATAAGTTGGTATATTTTGAATAGAACCCTAGAAGACTTAAGTTAGCAAAGGAAAATCTCCGATAATGTCTCAATACTTTGGTTCAGTTTACAGTTTAATCTCAATATTTATTTTTTAACAGAAAAATCCCGAAGTAAATAAAATCTGGGTTTTTAGCTCATATTACTTCCAATGAACAAGAGTACAAAATAGTAAACTGGGAAAAACTCTACTATCAACTCTATGTTCAGCTCCTATTTATAGGAGGCTGAAAGTACAAAAAAATACTAAGGCTAGACATTTCGCTTCGTTAAAATATGTCTTAGCAAATACATAGAAAATATACGAAAAAGACAATTACACAGACTTCGACATATTACAAGACATTTCGACTCTACAATCTCCCTCTTGGTAATCATGTCGAACTTCTCAATTCGTGAGAATCTGTGCAGCATAATGCATCATTCTTCGTATCTTTGAGTACCAAGACATTATCTTCCTTAACTCAGCTTTATCTCCATCATTGTTCTTTTTGCAACTATTCATACGAACAATGAAGTTCGTATATTGCGAAGTTGTATATTTCTCTATCTCTGAAGACTGAAATAAAAACCTCTTAGATTTGCCATTCTTATGTTTTCCTACAAATACTAACCCAAAAGGTTTTAAGCATATCTCTCCATCTGCATACATCTTCAATTCAGCTTGAGTCTTCGACAATTCCATTGAAACCTTCACTTCTTTTCCCAATGCTGATGCTAACTCCACATCAGTTAATGCTAAACAATCATAGTAATTGTCTATGAAGATTTTGATATGGGCAAGACCAAGCCTCAATACTTCCTTATCAGTCCCTTGAAGTTTCGAAGCATCCATATCTTTCAAAATTAATGCAACTTGAATCAGATCATTCAAGTTCATTAGAGGAAAATCAGCAACAGAAAAATCACACACTTGATTGTTCGCCCTTACAACATGATATCGAAAATTTTGTATCATATTCTCGAACAACACATCTTTTGTGATACTGATAACCTTCTTGATCTTCACCAATGACCATATCTCTTCTGGATCTTTTCCAACAACTGCATGAAACCTAAGTTTCATATGAATAAAATCATCCTCATTGTCGAACTTCTCAATGATCTTGTACTGAGCCATGATAAACATCATTTCATTCACTGGAAAATCAAGCTGGCTCATATCAGAGTTTGTGATAGAGTAGCTTTTCTTGGGCTTTTTCTCAAATGCATACATGTGATTGAAAGCAACTCTTGCTTCAATATTCTCATAACTGTACAACTTCGTTGGATCTCCCTTATCCATACCAGGTGGATCACTTTCACGAAGTCTTAGTATGTTATGTATATGCCTTTGTTTCTCCATTTCAGCTTCGATTTCAGCCTTCCTCTCTTCCTTCGACTTTTCAATCAAAATCCCCTTTCCTTTATCATCATCTTCATAAGGTTTTGGTTTAGACGAGCTTGAAATTCCTCCTTCAGTAGAAGAACCAATAACAATTCCCTTCAGAATGGGTCTTGTTGTTGTCTTGATAGCTTCTGTTGTAATCACCTTTGAAACTATAGGTATCAGAACTTGAGTCGATACAACTTTCGTTACTTCACCAGTTGTTACAATCTTCTCAATCTTCTTCGGCTTATCAACCCCTTTTGTTATTTTCGAAGATTTGCCTTCTTGATTCTTCTTTTCTGCCCCTTGCACCCCTGTGACAACAGAAGGGGCACCAGCAGGTAACATGTTGGAAAAATTCGAAATTGGAGCAACAGCCTTTTGAATGGCTTGATCCAAACTATGTAACTTTTGAGTTAAAAACTCAGGAGTTAAAAACGAAGTTGGAGCTGGCTTCGAAACTAACTCTTTCAGTTCACTAAGTAAAACTACCAACTCGTCGAAATTTTAAGTATCTTCTTTAGCTTTGGTATCAAACTTTGGAGTTAAGGATTGATACCATTCGACAACTGTTCGGACTGCAGCCGCTATAGTATCTGTAACGTCCCAAAAATACAACCCAAAAATTGCGTTTAATTTAATAATAAAAACCATAGTCGATAAACCTCATATATAAATCATAAGCAATGTATCCCAAAATATTATAACAACTGTCAAGTATATCAGAGTATAAACATCCCAGGCTGAACAAATGGTGTGTGCACTGCAATCTTCCCGAGTTCCTCCTTTGAAAAACTGAATACCTGAAACCAAAACTGAAACTGTAAGCACAAAGCTTAGTGAGCTCCCCCAAACTACCACATACCATACAATAACATATAAAGCAACTACTGGGCCTTGCCCACTGCATCGGACCGAAGTCCGGAAACTGCATCGAACCGAAGTCCGAAACTAACCAGGGCCTTGCCCTCTGCATCGGACCGAAGTCCGGAAACTGCATCGGACCGAAGTCCGGAACTAACCAGGGCCTTGCCCTCTGCATCGGACCGAAGTCCGGAAACTGCATCGGACCGAAGTCCGGAACTAACCAGGGCCTTTCCCTCTGCATCGGACCGAAGTCCGGAAACTGCATCGGACCAAAGTCCGGAACTAACCAGGGCCTTGCCCTCTGCATCGGACCGAAGTCCGGAACTGACTGAACATAGCATAACATAATCATAACTACTAGCATAAACACATATATTGTATACTGCATCGGACCAAAGTCCGGAACACATAACACAAAGACATGCTTGAATCACAAAGACATCAAGCACACTGAACTACTGCATCGGACCGAAGTCCGGAACTACTGCTAACTAAACGGGTCGGCATTGTGGCCGTAGACCCGTTCCTACTGGAAGGAAACTCACCTGTACTGCTGAACTCTGCTGATAATCCTCTGGCTGCTAATCGACTATTCTCTGAAGCGCTGCTCTCCTAGCTCCCGAGCTACCAACACCATATAATAGAACTTAGCCTAAACTGCCCTCCAGAGGTCAACTAAGTCAACTCTGGTCCATGTCCTGGTCAAAGTCAACCTTCCAGTTGACTCGACTCGCCGAGTTGTTCTACCAACTCGTCGAGTCCATGCTCCTCAAATCCCAAACAACCCCGACTCCACTCGTCGAGTCTAGCGAGAACTCGACGAGTTCTCCTTCATCTAATACTTCGGGACTATCTTCAACCGACTCGCCGAGTTGTTCTACAACTCGCCGAGTCCATCTTCATCAGCTAAGAAGATTGCCTTGGACTCGCCGAGTTCCTCCTTGAACTCGTCGAGTACCATGATCTTCATGTCCATCACAGACACAGACTGGCTGAGTCCTTTTCTAACCCCCACTCACTGATCCGACTCATAAACGGAAGGGTTTGGGTTTTGCGACCCGACTCGCCGAGTCCATGAACTGACTCGTCGAGTCCTCCTTGTGACAACTCTATTTTGTCTCTTTCAGTCTATTCCAACACGTCCAACTCATAGATCTGGACTCCTTATGCTAGCATTGCACGTAAAGTTGCTGACTTTACGTGCATGCAAGGGGTTATGAGGCTAGAACACCAAATCCAAGCTATAATGGAGGTCTAAGCCATGAAAGGAAACCATAGCTGAGAAAAGCTTCTTCCTCAGAGCTCCTAAGGCTCAAAGATGCTCCGATCTAGTCTCTATTCGTCCTCAAAGGCTCAATACTCGGGTTGGCCTTGGAAATGGTCCCAAAAGTCTCATAAAAGGGACATGAAGAGATCTAAGAAATCATAGATCAAGGTAAGAGCTTGATTACCAGAAAGTGATGAGGAAGAGGGACTCCTTCTGGATCTACAATCACTCCTTAGCTCTTCCTGTTGGGTTTTGAGCATTCTAACACTCCTATGGTGTACATGCAACCCTATAAACCTTGGATCTATGTTTTCTCTATTATACATGCAAATATTAACTATTCCAAGGTTTCATCCTAACTAGCATATTATGAAGCACCTATACTACAAAGTTCTAGTTAGATGACATACCTTTTGATGTAGCTTGATGTCTTCAAGCTTTAAGAGCTTAGCCCCAATAGTGTGGAAGCCTCAAATGGAATCACAAATCACCAAAACACCTTGGAAGAACTTGAGAGAATATGTATGCACACTAAAATCGGCCCACTCTTATTTTCACACACTTGTGCCCGTTTTGTGAGCCAAGGACCCCTTTATATATTATGGATAATTAGGGTTACATCCATGTAAACCCTAATACCCATGACCTTTCATTTACATAGGATCCATGGGTTAAAAGCTCCATAGACCATCCATGAAAGCTTAGCCCAACCTAAATGAACTTGGCCCATTCCATATATATAAGAGTCCATATTTAATTAGTTCTTTTTGATCACTTAATTAATTCTAAGTTAATTCTTGATCAATACTAATTAAATAATATGATTCCATATTAATATATTAGAACTTATAATATATTAATATAATCATAAATATACTATTCTCAAAGACTATCCATATAATTGTGCCGGTGAAGTGCAACCCAAATGGACCATACCGGGTCGGGTCAAGTACATACCAAATATAGTTATGGACTTAGACATTAATCCAACAGTCTCCCACTTGGATAAGTCTAAAACTATTATTGAGTATGACTTCAAAACCTAACTGGCAATCGTAGCTCTTAAAGCCGCTGTCGAACTCTGACCTTGTCAATGACTTGTCCATTAGATAAGGGATCATATATTCCTCCATTCTAGATATCATATGGACTGAGACATGGATTATAATCATTCTCTCTGTCCATTTGTTGTTTTGTTTTTCCCGATTTTCGATTTATGATGACTGACTGATT